AATCGCTTGCCAATTTAATTCCACCGGGGATTTTTTAAAAATAAATAAAGTTGGAAATTACCCTGAGCACATCCTGATCAGAAAGACTGTGTGGGTAGGGGATACAAGCATGTACACATTTGCTTCTTAAAATACAGGAAAGTTGTTTTCCTTTGCCGTGCTGTGTTTTATTTGCTTATCCACACCATTACCTAATTATTTCCCCCCTCACATTACCTGGTAGGTTTTCCCACACCGGAATACCCGCAAGCTCCTATTGAATAAAGCCATAATCTGCTCATGCGCTGTCATCTGTGCATGTGCAATTGATGCCTGAAGTGCGCACATGTCAGCTGAAGTGCAGCTTGCGTTTTAAAATGGATGGAAGCTGCTTTGAGGGACAGTGTATTTTTCAGGAGGCTGCTCCTCATCAATAAATTTATTGTACAGTGGTACCTCGGGTTACATATGCTTCAGGTTACATACGCTTCAGGTTACAGACTCCGCTAACTCCGAAATAGTACCTCAGGTTAAGAACTTTGCTTCAGGATGAGAACAGAAATTGTGCAGTGGTGGTGCATCAGCAGCAGGAGGCCCGATTAGCTAAAGTGGTGCTTCAGGTTAAGAACAGTTTCAGGTAAAGAACAGACATCCGGAATGAATTACAGAGTTACCACTGTACCAGCCAAAAGCCATGACAAAACCACACAGTTTAAAATACAACTCAGACAGCTGCAAATTAAAACATTGACCACATATTGTGAGATAACAGATAACAAGGAGATCAACACGGCTACACTGCCTGAGTTTCAGTTTTAGCCTCCAAATCTCCTTTACAGTTTTCGGCAATTTTATCCCGTTCCTTCTCCCTAATCTTTTTCCCTGCCAGAGCAAAAAGGGCCACTCTGTGTGTCGCTAAGGCATTGTTAAGGGATGCGGGTGGCGCTGTGGTCTAAACCACTTGAGCCTCTTGGGCTTGCCGATCAGAAGGTTGGCGGTTCGAATCCCCATGACGGGGTGAGCTCCCGTTGCTCTGTTCCTGCTCCTGCCAACCTAGCAGTTCAAAAGCATGCCAGAAAGTCCAAGTAAATAAATAGGTACCGCTCCGGCGGGAAGGTAAACGGCGTTTCCGTGCGCTGCTCTGGTTTCAGTGTTCCGTTGCGCCAGAAGCGGCTTAGTCATGCTGGCCACATGACCCGGAAAACTGTCTGTGGACAAACGCCGGCTCCCTCAGCCTGTAAAGTGAGATGAGCACCGCAACCCCAGAGTCGTCTGTGACTGGACTTAACTGTCAGGGATCCTTTACCTTTACTTTTTAAGGCATTGTTGTCACACAACAGCCACTAAACCCTTTCCAATAGGGAGGACCTGCTCTATTGTACAGAGGTTTAAAAAGTGCCCAGGAGACTACTCACAGGAGACTTTTGAGCACTGGAGTTGTGTGCTGGCAATAGTCTGTCCACATCAACAGTCTAGCCACAGCATTTTGCATGCATGAATTCATCCTGATACATTTTTGGGGTGTTTACATGTCTTCCCATTAGTCATTTGTCCGCCCCGCACTTTTTAATACATTCCCCCATCACTTTCCAAACTGCAAAAAGTCTGATTCTTTTTAAAGTGGTTGTGCTAGGATGATGTAGCGCTATAATCTGCTTTAATTGAAGGAATCTAATCCCACCCCCCCACTAATGTTTCAACAAATGAAACTGATTTGTAAAAATGTTACATGGAAAAAATACGAGAGACATTACACAAACTTCTGTAAAACAAGAAAATCTTTAATAAAAAAATATGAAGGAATATAATGTGCTAGTATGAGCTTGAATCTCTCCTGCAAAATACTGGCAGACTGGAGGTAGCTCACCTTCCGGAAGGTTCTCCAGCTACTAGCTCCCATGGCAACAAATCACCTGTACTCCCCCAACTCTTTAGTTATGCAAAGAGAATCTCAGGGTATCTACTTCAGAAAAGGAACTGGTTTGACACACATATACATACTCTCTCTCTCTCTCTCTCTCTCTCTCTCTCTCTCTCTCTCCTCTTCTCCAGACTCAAATCTTACACAGCAGGGTTGGGAGGCACCCCCAAAGGACATCCAGCCCCAGTCCTATAACACTATAAACTTAATCAATAAATACAATGAAATATCATTATGTGGCGTAATGCACCAGGCAGTTCTTCCAAGAGAACTGCATTGGATGGATGGTAATCTCTGCAAAAGTTAATAGTGAAGCCTTCTTGCCCAGCAGTCATGTTCTTGCCTCTTTTCCATTTGTTGTGCCTGCTTAATTGTGCCCAAAGCAATTCTCTGGGACATCCATTTTTTGCTTTACTGTAATGGCGAATAAATTGCTCCTTTGCGGCAACCTCACTGCGTAGGAAACTAAAACTGGAAACTTGGGAACCAACATTCGCATTTGTTTTGATGAACTCTCTTTTTTAAGATGTTGTTTTCAAAAATTAGATCATCGCTTGTAATATAAATGTGGCTAATTAGTCTTCTGATCATTAGTACTGTTTTCTCGCCGGGGTAAAACTACTCCAACTTGTAGTTAATCTTCAAATAAATATGCTTTTAATAATCACAGGGCTTTGGCTTAATACATAATAAATGTCATGTGTTGGGCTTCATTTCGCTCTTCGCAGAGGAAAGCTGCTTTTCCTAGCTGAAGGAAAGGAATCGTTCACTGGACACCATAGGGACACTGCAGTATATGAAAATGAAGACAACCGTTTTGGAGAGAGGCACTATCCTGGGATGTTCAAACTTCAAAGTGGATTGGACACTCAGCAACAGGTAAGAAGCTTTTCTAATGACTTGCTGATTCATCCTTATTTGCTTCCACAAAGCTTCCATAGTGGTTAGACTATGGCCTCATTTGCATGATACATTTAAAGCAGTATCATGCCATGTTAAACAACCATCGTTTCCTACTAAAGAACATACGCTCCAATATTCCTCAGAAAATAGGGGCATTTTAGTCTACACCAGTAAAAAAGGTAAAGGGACCCCTGACCATTAGGTCCATTCGTGGACGACTCTGGGGTTGCGGCGCTCATCTCGCTTTACAGGCCGAGGGAGCCGGCGTACAACTTCCGGGTCATGTGGCCAGCATGACTAAGCCGCTTCTGGCGAACCAGAGCAGCGCACGGAAATGGCGTTTACCTTCCTGCCAGAGCGGTACCTATTTATCTGCTTGACTTTGATGTGCTTTCGAACTGCTAGGTTGGCAGGAACAGGGACTGAGCAACGGGAACTCACCCGTTGCGGGGATTCGAACCGCCAACCTTCTGATCGGCAAGCCCTAGGCTCTGTGGTTTAGACCACAGCGCCACCCGCATCCCTGTCTACATCAGTAGCATGTCCCTATTTCTGAGGACTGTCATTTGTTAAGGACATTAGGACACCTTTATTCCCCTTAGAGAACTACCTACACTTCCCAGAGTTCCCAGAGTGAAGAACTAAAAAAGGAGTGGTGTATCCTTTTATCCAGGCAGGGAGAGAGGAGAAATTCGTGCAAAGAACTGTAAATGAGTTCATTGGGAAGAAGGATTGGTTGTTTAACCACTCTGACAATTGTGGCACCCTGACAAACTCCAGTTCCCAAAAGTCCTTGGGGGAAGCCATGACTCTTTTTAAAGTCTTATGATGGTGCTTTAAATTTGCAGTGCGGATGGGATGTCCCGACTTTATTTTGACTTGTTTGCAGGATGCACAGAACAAGGAGCATTTGCCCTTATTTCCTCTCAGGGTGTCTACAGACTTCCTTGTTTATTACAGCGGTACCTCTGGATGCGAATGGAATCCATTCTGGAGCTCCATTCGCATCCTGAAGAGAACGCAACCCGCGTCTGCACGTGCAGTGATTCGCCACTTCTGCGCATGCGCGTGATGTCATTTTGAGCGTCTGCGCATGCACGAGCGGCGAAACCTGGAAGTAAGGCGTTCCGTTCCTTCCGGGTCGCCGTGGAGCGCAACCCGAAAATGCTCAACCTGAAGCAACTTTAACCCGAGGTATGACTGTATTTGATTATCTCGCACTTTCCAGATTAAGAAAAAAAGGACCCCAGTGGTAAGAAATACCCTCTGTCTGAGATGCTGGAGTAAATTTTGTTGTTGTTTGTATCCCACCCATCTGACTGGGTTTCCAACAAATATAAAAACATAATAAAACATCAGACATTCAAAACCTCCCTATACAGGGCTGCCTTTAGATGCCTTCTAAAAGTTGTATAGTGATTTATCTCCTTGACATCTGATGGGAGGGCGTTCCACAGGGAACTACTGTGATGGCCTGGGATTCGGACTCGGAGGCTAAACCTGAGGAATCCCAGCCTGCACAGGATTCCCCGCCTCCAGAACCAGCTGAGCCGGGGCTGGGGCTTGAGACTGAAGGGTCCTCACCTGTGCTGGATCCTCAGGTGCAGGCATCAGCTGAGTCTGCTCTGGCCCCTCAAGTGATGGAGAACCCATTGCCTGCAGGTGCTCCACTCTCAGCCCCGTCAGGGGAAGAGGTGGTTGCCTCTGGGTCCGGTAACCCTCCAGCCTCTTCTGAGCTGCAGAGGCTCAGGGCAGAGAGGCGGAGGGAACTAAGTTCCTGCAGGAGGAGTGCTCGCCTCCAGGCCAGGAGAGGCGAGTCACCTGTGGACTGGAGCCGCCCTATGCCTCGGGGCAGATAAAAGCCAGTCAGCCCCAGTCCCAGGTTGTGGGAGCAACGTTGTTGCTAGCCTGTTCCTGCCTGCACCCTGACCTGCTCTTCTGCCAGAGCTCCTGATCCCACCCAACTCCCTGCCTTGGACCCAGCTACAGCCTTGATGGACAACCTTTATACTGCACCATTGACCTCGGACTGCGCTCGGACCTCGCCTCTCGGTTAGCCCCCGGGACCAGCACAACTATTGAACTAGATCAAGGGTACAGCACCTCATGCCCAGTGGCCAAATCAAAGAACTGTATATAGAGTTGGAAGGGACCACGAGGGTCATCTAGTCCAACCCCCTGCAATACAGGAATCTTTTGCCCAGCGTGGCGCTCGAACCCACAGCCCTGAGATTAAGAGCCTCACGCAGCTCTCCAGTCTACCCTACCTGGCCCTCTGAACTCTCCCCCAAACACACACCACACTGCACAATGACCCTGCTTTACACCCCACTCTGGCCCCCCCAGCTACTAGCATGTGGCCCTCGGAAGGCTGTGCAGAAAGGAGTGTGGCCCTCGGGCTGAAGAGGATTTGGGGGCCCCTTGACTGGATGGGCAAGTAGTCTGACAAGGCAAGAGGCAGCTTATGTTGTGTTCGGAAATCTGCTGAATAGCCGCGTTGAAGAGAACCCCATCAGATGCTCCCGGGGGAATTTGATTGAATCGGGCTCCCTGTGCTCACACCAATCAGCTCTGCGCAGACTAAGTCGCGAGCTTCTCTGGATTGTGGCCAGCAGGAAGATAACCTTGCCGCCAAACAATTAAGTAAACATCAACTGGACATATGGAATTGATTTTGAACAACCGTCAGTATGACATTTATATGCATTAAGGGAGATATTGTCGACGCAGCGCCCTGAAACATAAATCTGCACATAATCATGAACATAACCATACAACTGTATTGTTGTTGCTATTGTTGTTTTGAATGCAGAGCCCGAGATCCAACTGGCAGGTGAACAGGCACCAGCCCAATAAATCATATCTGTTATTGCTATTTGTTTCTATAGTCAGCTTCCTACTTTAATTTAACTCCCAGTTTAGGAACCCGGGGAGGAGCACTTCTACGGTTCTAATGAATATTGCATCCTTTACAAGCTTTAGTCACTTCACCCTCGTGTTACTGCTGCTATTTCCATATTACAAACGGGAAACTGAGGATGAGAGAGGGTCGTACCCATCCAGCAATGTGTGTGGGGGGGTGTTTGCCAGGTTGCCAACCTTGATGATAGATTCCCAAGCAACCATGCCTGCTTTCTGCACCCTCCACAGATGAAGGCGTCTGGTGCTGATGCTGCAGATGTGCCATGGCATTTCTCCTCTCTGCGCTCCTCCCAGTGGTCATTCCTCCTCTGGTCCCTGCTATGAACGCGCAACCTGAATGTCTGCCTACAGGTGCTGCGGTCGTCTGCAAGGGATTCCCACATGGCGGGGCTTTCATGTCCTGTTTGCAGAAATCTTTGTACCCCACAGAGATGGTCTGCTAACGGTCCTGGTGCCTGAAGACAGCTCCCCGTGGAACACATCCTTGGGTATTCTGCCATCTTCCATTCCGTGGACATGACCAAGGCAGCGTAAATGTCGCTGAGACAGGAGTGCAAATGTGCTGGGAATGTGGACTTGGAGAGCACCTCTTTGTTTGAGACTCCCGTCTTGCCATGTGATGCCCAAAACTTTCCAGATGCTCCTTATACGGTGGTGCCTCGGGTTACGAACTTAATTCGTTCTGGAGGTCCGTTCTTAACCTGAAACCGTTCTTAACCTGAGGTACCACTTTAGCTAATGGGGCCTCCCACTGCCACTGCGCTGCCGGCGCACGATTTCCATTCTCATCCTGGGGCAAAGTTCGCAACCTGAGGTACTACTTCTGGGTTAGCAGAGTTTGTAACCTGAAGTGTTTGTAACCCAAAGCGTTTGTAACCCGAGGTACCACTGTAGTTGTTTATGAGCTTTTTGTAAGCCGCTCTGAGAATTTGATGGGTGGGGTTGAAATGGCTATAAGAAAACAAAACCCAGGTCTCTCCAGTATTAATCCACTTCTGAAGTAATAATAATAATAATAATAATAATAATAATAATTAATAAATTTATACCCTGTCCATCTGGCTGGGTTTCCCCAGCCACTCTGGGCAGCTCCCAACAGAATATTAAAAACCCGATCAAACATTAAAAACTTCCCTAAACAGGGTTGCCCTCAGATGTCTTCTAAAAGTCAGATAGTTGTTTACGTCCTTAACAGTTGGTGGGAGGGCATTCCACAGGGTAGGTGCCACTCCTGAGAAGGCCTTCTGCCTGGTTCTGTGTAACCTCACTTCTCACAGTGACAGAACTGCCAGAAGGCCCTCGGACCTGGACCTCAGTGTCCAGGCTGAACGATGGGTGGGGGGGGGAAACGCTCCTTCAGGAACTATTCTGCTGATTTGGGGTTCGCTGAAGTAGCAGGATGCATCTTTTGAATGCAGTGGAGATATCCAAATCCATCCTGGTCTCACTACCTGTTGTGCATGACTAATTGTACATGGCAAGAGCTTGACTGAGGCAAGTGGCTCAACTCTGAGCCACATAGCAGCTTAAAGCTTAAAAAAAGAAAAGCTAGATATAATATTGCAACATTTTTGCACCCCTTCAGATCACATCCCAGGAGCTGGGTGTTAAGAGGGAGAGCTTTGATGTTTCAAAGCTCTGTTTTGTCAGTTCTGATATCAATTAACTTGTACCTGACCTTTTGCAAAATTCATCACGCTTATCATTAACAAACTTGCAGAGTGAGCAACATGAAAGCAAGCGAGGGCCATTTTCGTACCAGCAGCGCCTCGTACGAATTAGCACGTAACCTGCATGTCGATTGTCACGTATGGTGACTGCACATGTATGCAGTTTGCTGTGCTTACATTGCTCTGTAATCCACTTGAACATGTAGAGAGATTGCAGGCATTATCTTCACTTCATGCTGTGTCCCCCTCCCCGCAAAAAGGGGTGTTCGAGTGTCTCACAACAATGAGAACAACAATAAATCACAGTTGTGCTAACTGATGGCAAGTGATGGCAATGTGAATGAATAAGCTGTCACAATAAGTGCTGGGAAATTGCCAAAAGAAGGGAGAAAATGCTGAGAAAATGCTGGTGTTTTTCTTTGTTGTCGTTCTTTGAATAATCAGGGGTCAGCTATATAGGCAGACTACGCATGTGCCTAGGTAAAGGTAATGGTAAAGGACCCCTGACAGTTAAGTCCAGCCGCAAACAACTCTTGGGTTGCGGCGCTCATCTCGCTTTACTGGCTGAGGGAGCTGACGTTTGTCCACAGACAGTTTTTCCAGGTCATGTGGCCAGCACGACTAAGCCGCTTCTGGCAAAATCAGAGCAGCGCACGGAAACACCATTTACCTTCCTGCTGCAGCGATACCTATTTATCTACTTGCACTTTGACCTTTGATGTGCTTTCGAACTGCCAGGTTGGCAGGAGCAGGGACCGAGCAACGGGAGCTCACCCCGTCACGGGGATTCGAACCGCCAACCTTCCGATTGGCAAGCCCTAGGTTCAGTGGTTTAGACCACAGTGCCACCCACATCCCACGCATGTGCCTAGGGCACCAGCAAAACACACACAGTGATAAAAAAAAGAATTTGATATTTTTAAAAAAAGCAAAGAAGGGAGTATCCTACTACTAGATTTTTAAAAATGCGAGAAAATCAGATTCTGGCCTGTGTTGCAACAAATCTACTTGTTATTAATGATATATTCTTCTGAGTTATATGTACTTGATTCGTTTTCCTTTCAAATATAGATATATAGTGTATGCTGTGCAATTGGTTTTTAAAACTTCAGATAACCAAGGTAAGAGGCAGGATGAAAAGTAACCAGGAAAACTTTACTTTACAGTTTAGTATTGGTTTTATTTTGAATTACATATTGGGGGGGGGGGCACATAATCTTTCCCATGTTAAGGGCCCCTGAAGGTTTTAATCGGGGTATGTGTGTATGTGTGCATTGTTTTGTTCGTTATTATGTTCTGTATTTTTTGTGGTTTTATACTGCAAACAGCCCTGTGATCCTTGGGTGAAGGGCAGTGTAGAAATTTAATTCATCATCATCATCATCTTCATCTGGCCCTGCTCATTCTTCCCTTTGTAAAGAGAGATTATGTAAGATGGTGGCACACCAGTTCAGCCGGCCGCAATTTCCACGAGTGTGACAACACTTATTCCAGGCCCTGCAAGGACGGGAATTGCTGCCAGCTGAATCCATGTGCCACCAGTTCACACAATTTATTTCACCATGTGAGTGTGAAATAGGGACGGACAGACTGCTCATGAAACAGAGGAGAAATCAGCATGCACCAGTTTCCGATGTTTGCAATACTACAGCAAGATTTCTTGAGCTGCACACAAACATTCATCTTCAGGCTTTTGACAGCTTGGGTCAGTGGCGAACTTTGGGCTCTCAAATTTCAGAAGCGCCCTGTGCAATTCTAAAATTTGACACACACACACACACACACACACACACAGGCATCTCTCACTCTGTTCTACAGCATTGTTTTGGCATCCCCTGCAGCGTGGCTCCCAGAGCCACCGGCCACACCATCCTAAAACCACCTCTGCTTGGGGGAACCTACAAATTGGTGTGTAGTTACGCAACCCCAACAATAATACATAGCTGATGGCAGAAATACAAGGATGAACCCCCAAGCGTCTTATTCTTTAAAGGTGGGGAGGGGACAGTCACATTAAAACAGAGATTGAGATGGATGACCACCTGTGCTGAGCTTAAATTGCAAGCTGCTTGGGGCAGAGACTCTTGTCCATTTTAAAACACCGCATACACTGTGGGTGCCATATAAATGCTTGCCTTGCACAGTGTGATGGTTGTGATGGAATGGAGCACCGGGGGCGTAGAGAGACTTTGTGGCTGTTTGGGTGTCTGAAAACAAGGAAGGTGGTCAGTGGGTGAATTTTACAGAGTGAAAATACAGCCAGATCTTTAGCCACAGGTCTTTAGCAAGTATAGATTTGTGGTAGTTTTCTGCGAAAGTCTAGGAGACTGGAACTGGTGGGTGGATGGGGGGGTGCTTTTGCAGGGGACAAACACTGTGTGAGGGTGCTATCAGCCAGTGTGAAACAGGCTACTCCCAGAATATTTGTGAGATAAGATAATTGTGCAGTTGTAGGTGACGGTATCAGAATCCCAACATTTGCTCTAATTAATGTTATTGCGCCGTGCTCTCTAACTGCAATAAACTTGTCACTCGAAAGATTACAAGCATGCAGCATTTAATGATATTAATACTAAAATGCGATGCCCAGTTTATTGGGCCGGCATGAAAGAGCAATCAATGAATTTCGTGATAACTATGGATGTGTGAACTGGTCTGTAATTAAGATTTGATTAATCTCT